CCAGCAAGGATTTGAAGGTGACCTTTCCCCCACAATAACCTGGTTGCCCTTCTCCCAAGAGAAGAGACCCCCAAATGGTGCGATGAAATATTAATAAGTAATTATCAAAATGTTAATAGTGAAATTAAAATATCAATCTAGAGCAGCGGTTCTCAACCTGTGGGTCGCCAACCTGTGGGTTGCGACCCCTTTGGGGGTCGAACGACCCTTCACAGGGGTCACTTAAGACCATCGGAAAACACATATATAATTACATATTGTTTTTGTGATTTATCACTGTGCTTTAATTATGTTCAATTTGTAACAATGAAAATACATCCTGCATATCAAATATTTACATTATGATTCATAACAGTAGCAAAATTACAGTTATGAAGTAGCAACGAAAATAATTTTATGGTTGGGGGTCACCACAACATGAGGAACTGTATTAAAGGGTCACGGCATTAGGAAGGTTGAGAACCACTGCTCTAGAGCCTTCAAAGTTGCTAGAGTAACAGACAGTTTCCATTTGCAAAATCCACAGGTTCTGGCAGGCCTCACACATGGAAAGTGATTTGGTTTGTACCTTTAGGGAACTGATCAGGCTTCTGCTCTGCATTGTCATACTCACCACTAGCGTGAAGGAGAGTTAGTGAAAGGAGTGAAGTAGCTGTGACAGGAAACCCAACTCGGTTTTTCCCAAGAGACAGCTCTGCCGTTGCTGATTCTGGCAAGTTTTCCATTTCCAGCCAGAAGAGTTGGAGGAGAGAATTTCCAGCGTCCTTCCCAACACTCTCACCCAGACTCCGGGGCTTACCCACCAAAGAAGTTCTTGGGCAGTGTCATGCGTGTGACCATCCCAGCACTGCATTGATGATGCATGGGATCTTGCTAGCACTGAATTTACCACACGCATGGTCATGAGTTTACCATGGGAATGGTCTTGCTAGCACTAAACTTGACTTTTCTCGGGGGTGGGAGGAGGAAGGGCCACCAGGCAGGACCCATGAGAGTTGATGAGGACATTCAAATGGTGGGGACAGTTTGTGCAAGACCAAATCAGAGCATGGTTATAAATCTGGACAGTTGAGGGCAGTCCTGCTGTGTTGAAGGGTACTTTGGAAATTTTGTGCTTTCTGTGAATTTCTGGATAAAATCAGGTGGAGGTAAAGATGAGGGTCTCTCGACGATCCCAGCTGTGACCAGGCACATAGGGCCAGAGCTGGCCGCCTGGCCAGGACACGTGGGGTTCTCTGAGGAGTCATCGAGTTGGTTCATCATAACCTCATGGGGCAGCAGGTCCTGACATGGCTCAGAAAAATGACAGGGCATTAGGGGGGTCATGTACAGTGTTGTTTCTGGAAGTTTCTCAGGTAATAACATCACAGTTGTCAGAATTAGATGGGAAGCCCTGTGCTAAAGGCCTTTGGGAACTCCAAAGTGGTTTTGTTCATCTTTGAGTCTCTTCTCCTTCACCCTCTTTGGCTGCAAATTCTGCCCAACAAGAATTAGGGGTTGGGAATGCAGTCTGGTGCAGCCACTGTGGAAAACAGTATGGAGTTTCCTCAAAAAATTAAAAATGGAACTTCCATTTTACCCAGTAATCCCACTTCTAGGAATATATCCCATGTTCATAGCAGCACAATTTACAATAGCCTAAGTGCCCATCAGCAGATGATTGGATTAAAAAACTGTGATACATCTACACAATGGAATACTATGCTGCTGTAAAAAAGAAAGAACCCTTACCATTCACAACAGCATGGATGGACCTGGAGAGCATTATGCTAAAGGAAATAAGCCAGTCAGAGAAAGATAAATATCACATGATCTCACTCATTTGTGGAATATAATGAACAACATAAACTGATGAACAAAAATAGATCCAGAGACAGAGAAGCATCAAACAGACTATTAAACTTCAGGGGGAATACAGGGGAAGGTGGTGGTGGTGGGGGGTGGGGGGTAAGAGATCAACCAAAGGACTTGTATGAATGCATAAAAGCATAACCAATGGACACAGACACCAGGGGGGTGAGGGCATGTGCTGGGGGGTGGAGGTGGCCGGGAGAGGTCAAAGGAGACATATGTAATACTATAAACAATAAAGAATATAAAATAAAACAAAACAAACCACATACAAGAGTTTAAGTTCAAGCTCCCAAGTAAAAAAAATAAAAAGAATTAGGGGTGCCCTTATGGGACAGAGTGTGAGCTGTGTCCGTCCCCTCCAGCTGCTGGGTTGAGGGTCCTTGTGGTAATCACAGAAGCACCCTTGGCAGGAATAATGGTGACATACCACCCTTCTCTCCCAGCTGATTAAAACGAGCTGGTGTGACCTTGGGATTCAAGGCCAGTGTGAAAGAAAAGCATGAACCACGGGGCTTCATATTTCATCTTCGAAGGGTGTGCACCAAGTGAGGACAAAGAGCATCCATCTGGGAGCGGCAAGAAGGTCAAAGGAAGAGGCTGGGAGGACAAGCCGCCAAATTAGAGGCCCCCCCCCCCCAGAAAAGCAAAGGCCCCTGGCCTCCCTACTGAGAAATCTGAAAGTTGCTTCTGAATCTTTTATAACAACAATGTTTTGTTGTTATTTTTTGTATAACAACAATACAAATGTAGGGAAGTCCGGCTAGATCAACGGTTCTCAACCTGTGGGTCGCGACCCCTTTGGGGTCGAACGACCCTTTCACAGGGGTCACCTAAGACCATCGGAAAACACATATATAATTACATATTGTTTTTGTGATTAATCACTATGCTTTAATTATGTTCAATTTGTAACAATGAAATTGGGGGTCACCACAACATGAGGAACTGTATTAAAGGGTCTCGGCATTAGGAAGGTTGAGAACCACTGGGCTAGATATAATTCCTCAAAAGATTTTTACATAACTCTGTACATCATAATGATTTTATTTGTATGCAGTAATTTCATAGGGGAAGAAGCCACATGGATGTCCCCCTCCCCATTGAGATAAAGGAAGCAGTTTTGCCTTAGGCCATATTTCCTTAGTGTTGATGAACATCAAATGTTCCGTGGTAGGCAGTGGAGCTCCTGGCTGGCACGGCTTCTGGAGGAAATTCGGTGTATTTTTCCAGGGCCTCCATCATCCTCAGGGTAAGGTGGGTCCTCCTGTGTGCCCACATCCAGAGCTCTTGATTTACACCTGTTACAGCGTTATCACCCTGGGGCGTCCGCTCTTCGGGGTGGGGACCCATCCCATTCTGCTTCTCTCCAGCACTCAGAGTAGCTACTGACTCATTATTGAGTCCATTGACCCAGAGCAGCTGTTCAGAGGACCCGGTGTTAAAACTGCCTCGGCACCGTAGAAAGTCCAATAGGAAATCATTTTTTTGTTGTTGTACAGATCAAGGCTTATGCAGGCACAGCTGCCACAGGTGGCCCCAAGTTCTTCTTTAATAAACGCATCATAAAATGCCATCTATTGTGGGAAAGGCCAAGGACATCTGCTGGCTTTGTCACATCTGTACCCACAGTACCTAGAGCAGTTCAGGTGTCCAGAGGCATTTATTCAACCCACTGATAAGTCATAGCTCCGCACCTCCTTTCCAGATGGGGAAACCGAGGACCAAAAAGGTGACCAGTTCAGAGATCCCCCCAAAAGGATGCAGAAGACAGCTCTGATTTGCAATGTCGGGGGGCTGTTTTCATTTCGAAGCAACACAGAATGGGACTGGAGTGGGGGTGTGAGGGAAGGGGCTGTGTCCAAGGCAAGCCTGGGAACCGGCCGGCCTCCTTTCACCTTGGACAGCAGCATGGACGGCGCCTCCCGTCTGGGCATCTGTCCCCTTGTTCACATCAAAACTGAACTCAAAGTTCCGGGGTGTCCGGGCAGGCAACGTTTCTTACCAACTCCCTATACTTAGTTGGATATATAAATAATGCAGATTCACATTGATTGAGAGGGAGAGGGCCATATGGAATACAGTCACCCGTGAGCCTGACTGCATTATTAATGAGTAACTCAGCCACAGGGAGGGAACCAACCTAAGTCATGTGGGGAAACAGGTTTTGACCATATTCTCTAAGGCTAGAGACAAAAAGAACTGCACACAAATATTGAACTCTTGATAGTAGCTTGTTTTTCACAGGTTTGGGTTAGTAATTCCCAGACTACTTTAATGCACATTCTAGGGCCGAGGAAATACGTATATTGTGGCTCGTGAGAGTGGAGTTCTCATTGCTGGAGAGAGGAGTTATGATAAGGAAAGTCATGAACGTGGTTTTGAAAGGGTTGGAATTTGAGGAAAGGAGACAGGATTCTTTGTACGATTTTTGCTATTTGTTTTGGTAAACTTGAAATTATTTCACAAGCAAAAATTTAAAGAAATGGCCAACAACTGTAAGAAAAGATCACCAACCTCAGGTTGGTAAAGCGTAAAAGGTTAATACTATGAAGTGTTGTTTGGGATTTAAGGAGATGGGTGTTAGACTATCAGGGAGAGGGAGTCCAATTGGCCAAGCCCCTTTATGGGGCAACGTAGCCTTCTCGCTCAGAGTCTAAGAGTCTAAGAGCAGCGATCCTAAGTGGGTCCTATCTAAAAGTATTGGTTCTTGATTGTTCCAGGAATCTATCCTACTCATACATTAACACAGATTTTATATGGAGAACAAATTTAGGGTCTTTGTAGCAGAGTAAGTAATAGCAAGAAATTGTAAACCATTTAAATACCCATTGTAGGAGCTGGTTAAATAATCTCTGATTATTCGTGAGGATTGTGCAGAGGGGCGGGAACTGAAGATCCCCACCCACAAAGCAGCCTATTTATTGTGTGAAATAAAGTCAACAAGAATGTGCCTTGTATGGGGCGAACTCTGGCCCAGGGTCTGTTCGAGGCTGTGAGTCACTGAGGACAGAGGTGGTAGGGAAGAAGTGAGAATTCTGCAAAAGGCACGGCTAACATCAGGCGGGACTTGGAACTGGTCTGCATTTGAAAAAAGGTTTTTGTTAAGCACTGGACACCCACACCCTCCTCTTGTCTTCTGCTTCCAGCTGGTGGCAGCCATTGTGTTTATCAGCTTCGGCGTGGTGGCCGCCTTCTGCTGTGCCATCGTGGACGGCGTGTTTGCCGCTCGGCACATAGTGAGTTCCATCTTTTTAATTTTGCTCTCAATCGCTTTCCTGGGGTTGAAAGATCTACATACAGAAATAACTTCCCGGAGCTCAGAGACCTTCCCTGCTTCTCTCTCCGTTTCTGTTTGTCAATTGATGTCCTTCCTTCTGTCACTTTTCTTTATTGCCTGCAACACACACACACACACACACACACACACACACACACACACACACAC